AAAGTGCAAAGTGAAATAGCAAGTGCTGATGTAGAAACTGCAGCAAGTTATCCAGAAGATCTAGCTCAGATAATTCACTAAAGGTGGTTACACTAAGCAACAGATTTTTCAATGTAGACAAAACAACCTTCAATTGGAAGAAGATGCTGTCTTGGACTTCCAGAGCTAGAGAGAAGTTAATGCTTCAGATCTTCAAAGGACAGGCTGGCTCTCTTGTTAGGGGCTAATGCAGCTGGTGACTTGAAGTTGAAGCTGATGCTCATTTACCATTCTGAAAATCCTAGAGCCCTTAAGCATTATGCTAAATCTGCCCTGCCTGAGTCCTATAAATGGCACAACAAAACCTGGATGGCAACACATCTGTTTACAACATGGTTTACTGAATATTTTAAGCCAACTGTTGAAGCCTACTGCTTAGAAAAAAAAGATTCTTTTCAAAATAGGACTGTTCAGTGACAATATACCGGGTTATCTAAGAGCTCTGATGTTATTGTCCAACAAGATTAATGTTTTTTTCATGTTTGCTAACACAACATCCATTCTGTAGCCCATGGATTAAAGAGAAATTTTTATTTTCAAGTCTTATTAAAGAAATACATCTTGTTAAGCAATAGTTACCATAGATAGTGAGTGATTCTTTTGATGGATCTGGGCAGTGTAAATTGAAAACCTCCTAGAAAGGATTCACCATTCTAGATGCCATTAAGAACATTCACGATTCATGGGAAGGGGTCCAAAATAACATTTTTTTAAAAGACTTTTTATTTATTTATTTGACATACAGAGAGAGATAGAGAGCACAAGCAGGGGGGAACGGCAGGCAGGCAGAGGGAGAGGGAGAAGCAGGCTCCCCGCTGAGCAAGGAGCCCGATGCGGACCTTGATCCCAGGACGCTGGGATCATGACCCGAGCCGAAGGCAGCTGCTTAACTGACTGAGCCACCCAGGTGCCCCTCAAAATAACATCATTAACAAGAGTTTGAAAGAATTTGATTCCAACCCTCGTGGATGACTTTGAGGGTTCAAGACTTCAGTGGAGGAAGCGAGTGCAGATGTGAGTAGAAATAGCAAGAGAACTAGAATTACAAGTAGAGCCTGAAGATGTAACTGAATTACTGCAGTCTCTTGATAAAATTTAAATGGATGTGGAGTCGCTTCTTATGGATGAGCAAAGAAAATGGTTTCTTGAGATGGAATCTACTCCTGGTAAAAATGCTGTGAAGATTGTTGAAATGACAACAAAGGATTTACAATATTACATAAACTTAGTTGATAAAGCAGCAGCAAGGTTTGAGAGGATTGACTCCAATTTTTTTAAAAAAAATATTTATTTATTTATTTTAAAAATAATGTCTGCACCCACTGTAGGGCTCAAACTTGCAACCCCAAGATTAAGAGTCACATGCTCCACCAACTGAGCCAGCCCAGGTGCCGCTTGTTTGACTCCAATTTTGAAAGAAGTTCTACTGTGGGTAAAATGCTATCAAACAACATTTGTATGCTACAGAGAAATCATTTGTGAAAAGAAGAGTCAATGCAGCAAACTTCATTATCTTTAAGAAGTTGCCACAGCCACTCCAACTTCAGCAACTACCACCATGATCATTCTAGCAGCCGTCAGCATAGAGACAAGGCCCTCCACCAGCAAAAAGATTACAACTTGCTGAAAACTCCAATGATGGTTAGCATTTTTAGCAATAAAATATTTTTAATTAATGTGTACATTTTTTTTTAAGATTTTATTTATTTATTTGACAGAGAGAGACACAGCGAGAGAAGGAACACAAGCAGGAGGAGTGGGAGAGGGAGAAGCAGGCTTCCCGCCGAGGAGGGAGCCCGATGCGGGGCTCGATCCCAGGACTCTGGGATCATGACCTGAGCCGAAGGCAGACACTTAATGACTGAGCCACCCAGGCTCCCCAAATGTGTACATTTTTTTTTAGACATAGTACTATTGCACACATAATGGACTACAGTATACAGTTGTCCCTTGAACAACTCGGGTTAGGGGAGCTGACCCCCCAAGCCATTGAAATCTGCATATAACTTTTGACCCCCCCAATCTCCCCCCGCCCACCCCAAAACTTAACTAGTAATCTGCAGTTCACTGGAAGCCTTACCAATAATGTAAACAGTCGATGAACGCATATTTTGTATATTATATGTATTATATACTGTATTCGTAACAAAAAATTAAGTTGGAAAAAATGTTATTAAAAAATATCATGAGAGAAAACACATTTGCAGTACTGTACTGTATTTATTGAAAAATTCCCACATATAAGTAGACCCGTGCAGTTCAAATCTGTATTATTCAGTGGTAAACTTTGTGTAAACATAACTTTTATATGCACTGGGAAACTCAAATTCATTTGACTCGTCTTAATGTGATATTTGCTTTATTGTGGTAGTCTGGAACCAAACCTACATTATCTCTAAGGTATGCCTATAATAATGGTCCTAGGACTAGAGGTGTTGTGTGTGGCCTGAGGAGAGGTTCTTGGTTAGACTTAGCATAAATAAGGAGGAAACAAATGGGAGCAGGTTATGAGCCCAAGAAATAAAAGGGCTTGAGTCCAAAGCTAGCAAAAGAGGAAGTAGACTCCCAGGAGATCAGATGCCTGATATAGAAGGGCTACAGTGGGAAGAAAGTGGGTGGTGTGTGTGAAATAATGTAGAATGTTGAGTGGCCTGGGCGCCTGGGTGGCTCAGTTGGTTAAGCGACTGCCTTCGGCTCAGGTCATGATCCTGGAGTCCCGGGATCGAGTCCCGCATCGGGCTCCCTGCTCAGCAGGGAGTCTGCTTCTCCCTCTGACCCTCTTCCCTCTCGTGCTCTCTCTCTACCATTCTCTCTCTCAAATAAATAAATAAAATCTTAAAAAAAAAAAAAAATATTGAGTGGCCTGCCTTTGGCAATTTCAAAGTAGAAGAAAATTATCTTTTGTGTACTACCTCCCCAATAATCATATACTCTAGGCAGCCATTCTGTGCCTTATCCTCAGATATCCTTACTTTTTTAATTGTTATGGTTAAAAGTATCTGCTAAAGAGTTTTAAGAAGGCATTATTTGAGAGGCCATATTGTTCCTACTAGAAACCTATACATTTGAAATAGGAACTCTTGATTAAAAATAGTTACAAGATTGGAAAGAATAACATTCTTTGCTGCTGCTTTATAAAGGAAAGGAGGGAAAGAGGAAGGGAGGAGAAAATAATGAAATACTTAAATTGAAAAATTTTCAGTTTAAATAAATATAAATAAAATTCAATATAGAACTAAAACATGGAAGTTTCTTTTTCCTTTTTTAAATCAAATCTCTTTTCCTTGAGATAATATTGTGATTCTTTAACATAAATACACAAATGTGCATAAATTATATACAGATAATACTTCAAACAAAAATGAGATTTTTTTTAATATATGGTTCTGCATTTTGTTTTGCTTTTTACTTAATTGTTCTTGGATAGAAAGAATTATCTTATATAATGGCATATACAGACTTTTGGGAAAGATGCTTTGACGTGGGGTGGGGACTTTATACTTCCTAATCTTACTGCTATTCATCATTTATTAACATGAAGCATTGTTCTGTTTACATGCTGGCCAGGCATGCCATAAGCCAATTTAATAACTGTTACCCATATTGAAGGAATTGTTAAATGTCCTTGTTTATTGTAATATATATAAATGACCTGGCAAATGATCTGAACATATACATATAGGAAGATAACATTTTTATTATTGCTTTTTAGACTTTATAAAATACTTAAGGATTGGGTAATAGATACTATATTGGGTTTCAGAAGATCTTGGTTCTGTTTACTTTTCTCTCACTAACCCATTGTGTAACTGTGGAAAAATTTTTCTTGCAAAATTAAAAATGTTTTTGGTGTTTATAATTCTACATGTGTATCCATTGACTAAGAAGTTGTTCTTAAATATGGTTTAGAAGGTAGGTACTCACTCAGGTGTTACACCAAAAGATGGTCAGATCCCTTAGGCTAACCTGAATTAGATATTTGCAGCATGTATGTAGATTCATCGCCATGGGGAGTCATCCTTAAAATCTTTGTTCTTATCTTTTATACAAGTTTGGTTAAGTCTCTTAACTGGGCCTTAATTTTCTTATTTGTAAAACAGAATGGTTGGGCTGAAGATGGTTGACTTAATTTTATATGAATGACTTGAAGGTTTTTAAATATTTTTTTCATTTTTTTTGTTATGTTAATCACCATACATTACATCATTAGTTTTTGATGTAGTGTTCCATGATTCATTATTTGCATATAACACCCAGGGCTCCATGCAGAACGTGCCCTCTTTAATACCCATCACCAGGCTAACCCATCCTCCCACCCCCCTCCCCTCTAGAACCCTCAGTTTGTTTTTCAGAGTCCATCGTCTCTCATGGTTTAAATATTTTATTTTTTGAAGGACACCTTTATAAATCTATGAGTGTTTTAAAACAAGAAATACTTACAGATAGGGAAGTTTTTAGAATCATTTCAAAATTAAGGTTTAAATTTTTGTATCATTTCTATTTTTTCCCTAAAGCTCCTAAAAGAAGACGGCCTGCACGTTCAATATTTGATGGTTTCCGAGATTTTCAAACTGAAACTAGTAAGTATCTTGTACCAGTTTATTATCTCTCTCTTGCTTCTTCCTTCTCCATTTTCTCCTCCCCTCTCTTTCTCCCACATAGAAAAAACACAAAATGGAAAAGCACCCATCTGCTCCCCTACAGGTCAGGATCCTGGTTTGTTTTATATAGTTTTTCTTAAAAAGAAAAAGATGTTTAATATCAGGCCTAATTACTTTGAGGAGTCACCTTATTTTAAAAGGAAATTATGAATTCAGTCTGTGATTGTTACTAACTTCCCCTTAAGCTAAATTGTTCCAAATGCTAACCTAACTGGTGACAGAAGAATATTAAGAGTGATGGAGGTCGCAGAGCCTCCGCCCCCTCAATTTTTTCTGGGCCCCCGCGTACCTGGTGGGAGGAGCACACGGCCACTGTCCCACTCGACTGCCCACGACCAACTCGTCCGCAGAGATGTCAGCCGCTGGTGCCCGGGGCCTTCGGACCACCTACCACCGGGTCCTCGATAAAGTGGAGCTCCTGCTGCTGGAGAAATTGAGGCTGTTGTACAACCACCCTACAGGTCCCAAAACAGTTTTTTTCTGGGCTCCAGTTATGAAATGGGGGTTGGTGTGTGCTGGATTGGCTGACCTGGCCAGACCTGCAGAGAAACTCAGCACAGCTCAATCTGCTGTTTTGATGGCCACAGGGTTTATTTGGTCAAGATACTCACTTGTAATTATCCCAAAAAACTGGAGTCTCTTTGCTGTTAATTTCTTTGTGAGGGTAGCAGGAGCTTCTCAGCTCTTTCGTATTTGGAGATATAACCAAGAACTAAAAGCTAAAGCAAACAAATAAAGAGTTCCTGACCACCCGAACAACCTAGATGTGGATATACCCACAGGGACTGATTTGATTTATTCTTTGGCTATTGATAAGGTGATATTAACTGTGCTACTGTTTGGAAGGCATAAAAAACTGTCAACTGGGGGCTAATACTTGATTCAACAGAAAAATAAAGCAAACTTTTTTTTTAAAGATTTTATTTATTTATTTTGACCGAGAGAGACACAGTGAGAGAGGGAACACAAGCAGGGGGAGTGGGAGAGGGAGAAGCAGGCTTCCCACTGAGCAGGGAGACCGATGCGGGGCTCGATCCCAGGACCCTAGGATCACAACCCGAGCCAGAGGCAGACACACAACGACTGAGCCACCCAGACGCCCCGAAAGCAAACTTTTAATTAAAAAAAAAAAAAAAGGTGATGGAGAAATGTAAGAAATCTGGTAATTTACAAAGTTATAGCTTTTGAATGAGCACTTAAATGCTGACTATAATAAAAGAAAAAGATGGTTTCCCCCAAGATCCTGACATCTCACCTCACATCAGTCAGAATGGCTAGTATGAAATAGACAAGAAATAAGAAGTGTTGGCAAAGATGTAGAGAATAGGGAACTCTTGTGCACTGTTGATGGGATTGCAGCCACTATGGAAAACAATATGGAGGTTCCCTCTAAAAACTAGCAATACCATATGACCCAGTAATTTATAATTCTGGGTATTTATCCTAAGAAAACAAATATGCACCCCTTTGTTTATTGCAGCATTATTTTCAGTAGCCAAGTTATGGAAGCAGCCTGTGTCCATCAATAGATGAATGGATAGAGAAAATGTGGTATTATGTACACAGTGGAATAATACTCAGTCACAAAAAAGAATGAAACCTTGCCATTCACAGCAACATTATGGAGCAACATTATGGTCCTTGAGGATATTATGCTAAGTGAAATAAATCAGACAAAGACAAATACCATATGATTGCACGTATATGTGGAATCTAAGAAACAAAACAAATGAACAAAGAAGTGAAAAAGAGATTCCTAAATACAGAGAATAAATTGGTTGTTGCCAGAGGGGAGTGGGAGGATAAGGGAAATAGATGAAGGGGATTAAGAGGTATAAACTTCCAGTTATAAAATAAGTCATAGTGATGAAAGCTACAACATTGGGAATATAGTCAGTTAATACTGTAATAACTTGTATGGTGACAAAGGGTAACTGCGTTTAACGGTGAGCATTTTGTAATGCATATAATTGTTGAATCACTATGTTGTACACCTGAAACTAAAAGAATATTGTATGTCAGCTGTACTTTAAAACAATAAATGAATAATTGGTGGAAAAGAAATCCTACCTGTCAGTTTAAAGGAATGACCACAATGAAAATGGTTATTGTAGGGGATTGAAAAATAGAAGAGGAGAAAGCCACACCACCCAAAGCAGCCACTCTTAACATTTTGGCTATAGTTGTTTGGAATAGATTTATATCTTTCTGTGGAATAAGTTAGAGTGAAGATTCCTGGCCGTATACTTTTAGAGGATTTAGTAGTGATTTAGCAAGGGAATCTTTAAAAAAAGGAAAGTTGATTAGAGAATATATGAAAAACTGTTGGACCATGCTTGATTTTGTAGTTGATTTATAATGAGCTCATTGCAGCACAGGTAGGTCTTGTAACTTTGGAGAGAGTTGAAAGGGGGAACCCAAACTGATTCAGGTCATCCGGGGAAGCCTATACCCTTCCAGGAGAAGGTGACAACAGGTGGTCCTTCTCTCTCACTGCCAGAATCTTTAAAGATTGGCGGTGTAGCTAGAAACAACAGATATATTAGGCTTACTTTCAGAACTGGATAAGTGGAGATGAAAATTTTCTCCTGTGCTCAAGTTCCCTTGGAATATGAGAAGGAAATATTTTGAGTAGGTGACTCTACTGTAATTTTCAGCTTTTGTCCTTACATTTGGATTGAGAGCACCACTAAGTCTTAAAAGACTCCCTCCCCACCATGCTTTATATGTTTTTCAGTATCAGCATTAGATATTTGCATTTGCATGAGGTCAGGCACGGTCAGGCACATTGTTCAGTAATTCTTGCAGTTGATGCATGTTTATATTTTGAGATTCATGGCTTTTATTTTCTGGCTAACTGAAACTTTCCTATCCTCCTGTGTTGCAGTTCGGCAAGAACAGGAATTAAGAAATGGAGGAGCAATAGATAAGAAACTAACTACCCTTGCAGATCTCTTCCGGCCACCTATTGATTTGATGCATAAAGGCAGCTTTGAAACAGTAAGTTGCTGGAAATTGTAAGCCTTAGCTATGAATCCTTTTGCATTTTCACTGCCGTTTTTTCTTTCTAAGAACAAAAAAGTTTCCAGAATATAGAGAATTGGCATCTTAATAAGTATGACACAAGTATGAAATACCTAAAAAGTTGCATTGATTTATATTTCTACCAGCAGTATATGAGATTGTTTCATAAAATCCTTTTATTATCCTTGTGTGGTATCACACAATCTTTGCCATTTGGTAGTTTTTGGGGAAAAAAAATCTTAATTTTTTTAGTTTGTGTTTCTTTGATTACTACTGAGAATAGTGTGCCTGTCTGTGTTTATTGGCCATTTGTGAATTGTAGGTATCTTTTGCCCATATTTTTATGGGGATCCTGTTGTATTTTATTTACTTATTTATTTATTTTTTAAAAGATTTTATTTATTATTTGACAGAGAGACAGCGAGAGCAGGAACACAAGCAGGGGAGTGGGAGAGGGAGAAGTAGGCTTCCAGCCGAGCGGGGAGTCCAATATGGGACTCGATCCCAGGACCCTGGGATCATGACCTGAGCCAAAGGCAGACGCTTAATGACTGAGCCACCCAGGCGCCCATCCTGTTGTATTTTAAAAAGAATATGTAGTTGCAGAAGATACTCTCCTTCAGTTTTTTGGTTTTAATTTGGCTAAAGCCAAAGAAAAGCTTTCCAGAGCAGGTTTACTTGATTGTCTGCTAAATTATAAATGTAAAGAGGGCAGGGGTAACATGTTTCTTTTTATTTTGGTAATCCTTGGGACCCAGTTCCTGGGATTTTTTTTTTTAAAGATTTTATTTATTAGAAAGTAGGAGCTGGGGGGAGGGGCAGAGGGAGAGCAAAAGCAGACTCCGGCTGAACAGGGACACTCCCCGCCCCTCGAGCCGAAGGCAGATGCTTGACTGACTGACCCACCCAGGTGCCCCCAGTTTCTGGTATTTTACAGAAGCATAGTATCTGTTAAATGAATGAGTTTGGTTAGGATTTTAAATATTCTGTTGAAGTGTTCAAACAGTTGCTTTTGTGTGATAACTAGCATGTTAATGCTCTTTTCAGTCAGAATAGCATTTCCATAGATGTAAATTACTTTAAATTTTAGGTCTTACCTGTTAGCATAAAGTAGGCCAAACAATACTCAGAAAAATGATGTTTGTAGCTGCATATTTGGAAGTGAATTATGATTGTTTTTTAAAAGATTTTGTACTTTGACATACTCTTAGAGTAGCCTAAATAAAATACTGAGGATTAAAAACTTAACTAAGTCTGTTCTTCAGTTTTAATTTTCTGAATTGTAAAACCTGAAAATGTTTGGCAACATGTAACAGAAAATCCAAATGATAGTGATTTGACCAAACAAACTTAGCTTAGCTTTTCTTCTCTTCTCTTTTCTTTCTTTTTTTTTTTTTTTTTAAGATTTTATTCACCTATTTGAGGTAGAGACCGAGCACAAGCAAGGGGAAGGGCAGGCAGAGGGAGAAGCAGGCTCCTCACTGAGTGTGGAGCCCGTGGCAGGGCAGGGCTCCACCCTAGGACCCCAGACCACGACCTGAGCCTAAGGCAGACAGTTAACCCACTGAGCCACCCAGAAGCCCAAGCATTTCTTTTTGTCATGTAAATAAGACTAGAGTTGAGAGTCTTTGATATTCATTAGTCAGCTCAAAGATGTTTTCCTTTTCTTGGCCTGGTGATCTAAATATGGCAGCTGCCAGGGCGCTTGGGTGGCTCAGTTGGTTAAGCAACTGCCTTCAGCTCAGGTCATGATCCCAGGGTCCTGGGATCGAGCCCCGCATCGGGCTCCCTGCTCGGCGGGGAGCCTGCTTCTCCCTCTGACCCTCCCCCTGCTTGTGTTCCCTCTCTCGCTGTCTCTCTCTCTCTCTCTGTCAATTAAATAAATAAATAAAAATCTTTAAAAAAAAATATGGCAGCTGCCTATCCTTTCTGCTGTTCTGGTGATAATTCAGCCATTGAGAGAGAATAGCAGCAGTATGAAAGACAAAAAGGATCTGCGTTTGTTTTGCCAGGTTTTCCATTTTTTAGTAGCTTCTGAGTTGCTCTAGGGCTTAATGAAGTAACTATGAGCTTGATTTAATTTGATCACTTTGGGTTCATAAAAGCAGTTACTCTGCTGCTTGTTCTTTGAGGGAAAATGTGAATCTTTTTTGGTATTATTTTGTTAAGTTATATTCTTTGTATTTCATGACCTGTATTATTCACAGCAATCCTTTATTCACTGATAATACTAAACTTCAAACTTTATTGTTTATAAATCTATAAATGACATAAATACTTAACAAAAGGTAGGCATTTAATTATGACTAATGTATATTAGTTTTATAAAAATTAGGGAGGTAATATGCAGAATTAAGTCATTGAAGATTAGGAAGGTGAATATTGAAAATTAGAGGAACACTCTGGCTGCTCAGGCAGGACCCATAGGTTGGGGCACCATCTTAGATGTAGATTTGAGCCACAGTTTGACGGGTTTAGAAATTGGACTTTTTTAGTGTAACTAGAAGTAGAGTATGTTCAAGTGTTGTGGTTGATGCTAACCACATGAGAGACTGATTAATTCACTTGTTTACTCAGTAACTATTGAAGCCTTGAATTACAAGGCCTTATGCTAGGTAATGGGGATTGTATTTGTTGGGATAAAGATTTGACTGCATATGAGAGAGAGAGACAGTAGGAAGAAAGCAGACAGTAACTTAAATAAGATAGAAGTCCAGACTGTTAGAGTGGTTCTCCTACATGAAGTTATTAGGAGTGTCGTTTTTTCTGTCTTCTACTGCTATTCCCTAGGTTTTGCTTCCTTCTCTTCATAAGAATCAAGATGGCTAGTTTGCTTTCCAACCAGCATGGAGGGAAGGGGTTGAGAAGGGTGCACTTTTTCCCG